CAGACCCTGATGTTAAGGACTCCACCATCTCCATGGCAGCCATGAAGACCAGTGGAAGCCCCGCCTCCCAATCTCCATACCGGGGCCCCCGGCAGCCCTACGGCCCCCTGGGGGTCCTGGAGCCCGCACAGGTGGGCCTCCTGGGGGCGGAGCCTCTGTCGGTGGGCTGCAGCACGGAGGACGACTGGGAGGGGATGGAGGGAGTCCGACAGCCCAGCGTCAGAGGGATGAGGAGGAGCTACAGAGGAGGCCGAGGCCGGGGGGGGTACAGGAGACGGCATGGAGGGGAGCTGGGGGCGGGGCCTAACTACGTACAGTTTAACTCCTCCCAGAGGGGGCGAGGCCGAGAAAGAAGCTACTGACGCTCAGCCAATGTGAGCGGCGGACATACGAAGGTGATTTTTTTTTCTTTGCCAGCCACCAGGCAGCTGATTGGTGGATCGGTTTTGCTGCGTCAGCAGCGTCTGCGCTGGCAGCCATTTTGGATTTCAAGAAAAACTGGCGCTTCTTTCACCACGAACGCATCGTGTCCCCGCCGGGCTTATGTTCAGGAAATTGCTGTATTTTGATGCATCAGAATCTTAACAGCTTGTTGCTGTTTCCAAACACTATCTTGTTGTAATGTTTAATGTGCTAATTAGCATAGCATGTTAGCATCTCCGAGGGCAAGTTTGTATTTCTCAGCAGGGCGGTGTATGGATGTACCGGACATTTAAAGCTTGTTTTCAGGACTATAAACAATAAAGAAAAGTTTGCCTCCATGTCGACGTTTGAAGAAAAATGTTTTTTTGCAAAATGTGTGTATTTGCATTTATTCAGCGTTAGATAAGATCGTACTATTCTTTTGTTTGTTGAGTGTACACAAAGCTAGCGCTAGCCTATCGTTAGCTGAGCTGGATAAAAACCCAAGCAAGAGTTCACCTGGCACATTCACGTTTAAATTATATTTCAATTTCTTACCACTTCAGTTTTTACAATTATTAAAGCAGCTAGTTAGCTTAGCATACATATGGAAAACACACCAGGCCTATATGAATCTGGCAAAACTAAAAAAAAATAAATAAATTTTCTCCATGCTTCAATTTTTAGCAAGCAAATAGGTAGCTTAGCTTAGCATAACTACTGAAAGCAGTGAGATAGTTGGATATAAACAAATTCTTCATCTACGTCCCTTACAAAAAACACATTACATTTCTATCCATTCAGGTTTTGACTTGTGTTAAACAGTAAGCAGTCAGTTAGCTTAGCATAAACATTGAGTGCTCCCCATGAAGCCATACATGTAGTTTCTTTCTACTTCAGTTTTTGCTTTTATTAAACGAACAGCAAGTGGATAGTTAGGTTAGCATAAAGATGGAAAATGGCCCAGGCAAACGCTCATGTGTCCATACAAAAAACCACAAATTAGCTTTTCTGCAGATTAACGAGCCAGTTAGCTTAGCATAAAGCAAAATGATCTACTTTCAGATGTTTTAAATCCGTCTAGCTGAGAGAGGTTAATGATTAAGGTTTGGGTCGGTGGATTTTGTTACTTTTAGTCTTTATGCTAAGCTAAGCTAACTCTTTCTTGCAGCTTCATATTTAGCACAGACACAAGAGTGCAGTTGGTCTTCTTACCTACCTCTCTTAGAAGGGGAGCAAAAAATCTCCAAACGTTCCTTTAGCAGGAAGTCAAATTTCTGACTTTCTTGAATGCAACACAAGTGAGAGCTTAGCGTGTCACCATGGCAACACACGTTTAAATATATCCCAGGAAACGCAGCCCACAGGCTCATCATGGCTGCATGTAGAGGTGCAGCGACAATCACGTTTCCAGTTCTGCTCTGTGGGTGTTTGGATCCACTCGGACTCGGATCAGCGCCGATGCTTCTGCTGCTGTAAACAACAAACTGGAGGAATGAATAACGCTTTGGTTCTGATGCAGACTGAGGTTCTGCTCATGTTGGTCATCACATACACAGATGAAACCGAATCAGATCTTTAAGGTGTTGATGTTCGTCCATGTTTCACGCCTTTGTGCTTCTGCCAGTTGGTCAATTTAACAGGACAATCGTTGCAGCAACAAGTTGCTCCCTGGTTTGGTGGGTACACAGTCGTCATCACAGGAGTCTGTCTGGTGCTCAACCAGCAGATCAACTCCCACAATGCTCTCTGGTTGTCAACCAGGAGCCTGTGGGCTCTGCGCCACCTGGTGGAACAACCAGGTACTGCAGCTGCTCGTGTTTGATTCACACAGAAACTCAATATATGAAAAAGTTCTGATCAGACTGTCACTAATCTGGACTTTTTGTTCCACAATCTGATTTCTGATGCCGTGGTTCTGATCATTCTGAGCCCCGTGTTCTGATCCGGTGGACTTCTCCTCCAGCAGTAACGTGTTCAGTGCAGTATTTGTCCGAAGTGCTCCTGCTGCTGTTGGCGGTGGACGTCCCCGCCCCTCCGGGCAGCGCAGCAGCACAAACCGAGCGTCCCTCCGAACAAACTCACTTCCTGGTTTGTTGGACTTCAGAACTTTGATCGGTCCAGTTTCCAGCTGAAACCTTGAGCATGATCCGCTGACGGTCTGAGGACGAACCGGACCGGGCTGAAGGTAAAACCCGCTTCGTGTTTCACGTCGGACTGAACCGGTCCAACCTGCGCGTACCGACACCAACTGTTGCTGAGCTCGTGCACCGGGTTGGTGGGCGGTGGGGAGCGAAGCTAAGCTAAGCTAACAGCTGGGCTCAGCTTATTTATATACATAGTTTGTTGCTCCTCCAATCGGAACCAGGTCCAGTTTAATCGGATTTCTGACCAGAATGTAGAAGAACCCAGTTTATAGTCACAGTGACAGCGGACCGGGTCGGACCGCAGGTTTCATTGAATAAAACACCTTCAGGTCTGTAGTTCTGCGTCCTGGTGCTGATCACTGTCGAACCAGAACCACCGAGCTTCTGCAGTGTAAACCAGAACTCTGGACTCAGTCTGTCTGTGGTTCTGCTGTACCAGAAGTCCAGATGTTTAATCAGAACATGTGACTCTCTTCTCATCGTTCAGCTCGAACTTTTATCCGGAAACTGAACTTTGGTCTCATAACTCACTTTATTGGTGCCACACCTGAACAGAACTCTGCCGGCAGAGTGACGTCAGGTCCAACACGAGGCTGCAGAACATTTCCTCAACATCAGTAGAACGTTGGCTTCAGGTTCTGACAGTTGAACTTCATCAGTTCCCGTTACGGATCAGAACCAGCAGCTCGTTTACATACAGGGCGAGTTCTCCACTGCCGGGCCGTGCACGCTG